TTTTGAATAGATGGATAAATTTTGGAGCAAGAAGAAAATTTTTTTGGTGCTTTTTTGTGTTTCTTTTTTGAGAAATGTTAACTTTATATAAAAGGTAAAGATTACAAAATGTATACAAAAAATGGCATCCCACAGGTTGGGTGCTCCATAAATATCAAAAAGGCAGCCCACAGGACGGGTGCTCCATATACAACCAAAAAAAAAAAGCGAGAGCAAAGTAGTAGAAAAAGTGGGAGTGGAGGTAGAGGGAGGATAGAGAGATACAAATGAGATCGGGAGGAATAGAGAGAGGAGCAATAACATGCTAATATCATAAAGACTCTAAAAAGAAGAGATCCAAAAATCCTTTGCTGTCTTCATCCTGAGCGCATCAACACCAGAAATCTTCTTGTGCCTTCTTTACTTCATACTACTTCATACACCATGCTGGTGTAGCCTTTAAACCACATTGCAGAAATATGGGGTGTACCATGCGGGGTAAGAGTTGGGGCTACTGGTGTTGGTATGTATGATGGCCATGGAGCCTAAGATGTCATATATTTATCTCTCATATTATTTAATTTAATGATTTAATGTTTATCGCTAGGCATGACGGTTTTTTTAGAGAGAGAAGAGGTCATCATCTAACTGGTAGATGATAACCTCCCAAGATTGTGGGTCGTGCTTCTCAGAGTTTTTAGGAGAAAGCAGAATGTTGTAAAACGGCCTATTAGGCCTTTCATGGCTATGGAGAGGCACACACTGAGAAGTTTGAGTTCTCCTGCTTTTCTCAGGCTTTTCAGTAGAAAGCCGAATGTTGGAGAACGATTGCCTCCATCCCTAATTAGGCCTTTCATGGCCATGGAGAGGCACACTGAGAAGTTTGAGTTCTTATTGTTCTGGAAAACCTCCACTCTGCGTTCCTCAGTATCACGACACTATCTTGGAAATTTAGGGATCCATCTCTTCCCTCAAGTTTCCCTCAAGTTGTTGAATTTAGGGATCCATCTCTTCCCTCAAGTTTTCAACATTCGTATCAGAGCTTTGAAGCCCTAATTGGAGCCCTCTAGGTTACAGGGTGAAGTTTTCTTCCATTTCATTTTGTCCTCTGAAGCCTTAGAAACCTGAAGTGTTGCATAGTTGAAGGATGGAGAGCTCGCTTCAATGATCATCTACGGTTTCTAAGAATCTGCAGTGCAAAGTTTTTGTTTAGCTTGATAAAGCTCTTGTATTTGGAGAGTTCAAATATTTTGTTTTTCTTTTCCATGAGTTGAGTCATTACAAATCATTCTATTTTGGGGAACCCTCAATCCTGCATGATCTAAGGTTATAGTTTTTTCCAACCTATCGTTCCTCTGCTGCATCCTATTCCTGAAACCTTGAGGACCACAAAATAATATCAGGGAAGAAGCCTATAGAATGATAGCAGGATTTTTTTGGGTTGGAGATTTGGTAATATATATCAGCAAACAAGGTCATTTTTCTCTCTACTGTCTAGCCTACAGTCAATAAATTAGGTATTTCTTGCCATTCTTTTTTTTTTTTTAACTTGGATTCACAAAGAACTGCTTTTCTCTCACTATTTTTTTTTTTTTTTGTTTTATTCTGATTTCCTTTATTTTGTAAAGATTTGAGGGGTGCATGTTCTATTTGTTTTTGCTATTGGGTAAGAAATCTTGCATCATCTTTTCCCTCTTGCCCTATTGCATCCTGTTGTTGTTCAATTGTAGGCACTCATTTTTAAAATAAAATTTCTTCGTGGGCTAGTAGACCCAATCATGTTTTTGGAATAGAAATCAGGGACCTTCTGATACATTTTTTTTTTTGTACTGCTGTTGTTGGAATTTTAGAGAGAGACAGAGAGACACATAACTCCTACTGAAAATCAGTGACAAAACTGCTGAAATTCAGTGCCTAAAACAATTGAAAAATCAATCTTTCATGATGGAATGAAACATTTGTTTGTGCTTGCTAAGAATCAAACTCTGAAGAGTGATAAAAATACTTGTTCTTTACTGCTAAAAATTATTGTGCAGCTCTTATTTTCTTTATTTTTTGGTTGCTGAAATTTGTGCACATCTTTTATGAAATATTGAAAACTGTTGTGCACACACTAACTGTTCGAGTGAAGGTTTACATAACAATTGCATGCATTTTTGTGGTCTATAATTTAGGGAGTTTTCTACATATTCTATTTGCATAATAATTGTCATTGTTTATCATAGTTATTATATGCTTTGGTTTCTTTAAGTGAGAAATTTCATGATCTTGATTTTGTGAATTCATTTTTTTTGTGATTATGCAATGCCATATGTTTGTTGAAAAATATCAACTATCATTGGACACCCTCTCTCTTATGCTAAGACATATTCACATATTTATAAAAATTATTCTTATGCAAGATTTGACATAAAGTAGTTGTTGCCTTACATTATTAATTTTTTGTTGCATCACAACAGTGCGAACATAAACTGTTTGAAATGTTTTTTCTTTGAGGTTGCAGCTCACTGAGAGTCGGCAAACCTATTGATTTAGCTAGCAGACAACCCTTTCTTAAACACAATTACATTTTTTGAACTTTTATCTAAAAATTTGAAATGGCATCTAGGCTAGTCATGTTAAAACTATCCAAACTTGAAAAACTCAATGGGACCAATTTTTCTATGTGGAAAAGAAAAATTAAATATATTCTTTTCCAAGATAGGGTAGATTATGTCTTAGATACAAAACCACCAGTTTTAGGGCTTAATGCCAATGGTCAACCTAGAAGGCGACTTGACAAATGGTTAGAAGATGATAAAGTAGCTAGAACTGTTATGTTAAGCTTTATGGAAGATGATTTAATTAGAGTCTTTGAGGATCACACCACAACTCAAAGTATGATGGGTGCCCTATTTGAAAAGTATGAGACCACTCTTGTGCAATTGTTGTTAGAAAAATACAATTCTTGCAGATTGAAAGAAATGGACTCAATGACCTTTTATGTCAATAAAATGACAGTGCTCGCAAAGGACCTTGCTGCATCCGAGAATCCAGTCGCCGATCCAATGCAAGTGTCCATAGTCCTTAACAGTCTCCCTCCATCTTGGGAGTCTGTTGTAATTGCATTGAACCATTCTGCACAAGGGATAACCATGTTAAATCTTCCCATGCATCTCAGTATTGAAGCTAAGAGAAAATGAGGAAGAAGTCAAATGAGCTCCGCTTTGTCCAAAGTTCATCTTCTCAGATCCCCAAGAAACTTTTCAATAATCAGAAAAATAATAGGTATAAGGGAAAGGAGAGAAATTTTAAAAATCAAAAGAATAAGGTTGAGAAGACCTGTTTTTATTGTAAGGAAATTGGATACATCAAGTTTAATTGTCCCAAGCTGAAAAACAAAAATAGAAACCAAAATAACAACCCTACTCGAAATAATCAAAATAAAAGAAAGGACTTGATCTGCGTAGTCCTAGAATCAATAGTTGCCGATCATGACCTAATACATTGGTGGGTCAACTCAGCCTCCACTCAACATGTCTCAAGGACCAAGGACGAATTCATAGAATTGAAGGAGATTGTAGTCGGTAACCAGCAGATTTATATGGGAAATGACACCTATTGTGATGTACATGCTGTCGGTACTTTCAAGCTGTGTTTACCAGGAGGAACAAATCTTCTATTGACCGATATTCTGTATGCGCTCAATATGAGGCACAATTTTATTTCTGTTCCTAGGTTAGACGACAAGGGTTATGAACTGAGATTCAAGTCTGGTCGGGTCACCATTGGGAAGCATTATAGAGCATTGGTGTACAGTACTAAAGTTGACAATTTGTACCGACTGAATATTAATGAAAGTTCATCATTTTCTGGTTATTTTGATGTCTCTTTTGATGCTTATGTATGTATGGATGATCCATATTTATGGCACTTAAGATTAGGACATATATATAAAGACAAAATGAATCAAATGGTTAAAAGAGGCTTGCTCTCCAATTTAGGAGAAATTGTATTCAAAACATGCGAGCCATATATTTCTGGTAAATTAACCAAGAAGCCTTTCCCAAAAGGGAAAAGGTTCAATGAACTACTAAGTATTGTTCACTCT